ATGGTGGAGTCAGAATTTGGCGTAAACAGAATGAAAACATGGATCCATCGTGCCTTTTTACCACTGTGCAGGCTGGTGGTGGTGGTGTCATGGTGTGGGGGACGTTTACTTGACACACTTTAGGCCCCTTAGTGCCAACTGGGCACCTGAGCATTGTTTCTGACCATGTCTATCCCTTCATGACCACCATGTACCCATCCTCTGATGGCTACTTCCAGCAGGATAATGCACCATGTCATGAAGCTCCAATCATTTCTAACTGGTTTCTTGAACATGACGATGAGTTCACTGTACTACAACGGCCTCCACAGTTACCAGATCTCAACCCGATAGAGCATCTTTGGGATGTGGTGGAACGGGAGCTTCGTGCCCTGGATGTGCGTCCCACACATCTCCCAACTGGAAGATGCTATCCTGTCAATATGGCCGACATTTCTAAAGAATGCTTTCAGCACCTTGTTGGATCAATGCCACGTAGAATTAAGGCAGTTCTGAAGGTGAAAGTGGGTCAAACACCGTATTAGTGTGGTGTTCCTAATAATCCTTTAGGTGAGTGTGTATTTATTCAAATAAAGGTCTTAAATAAAATACTTTATCTTCTTCTCTAAAGTTAATTACCGTAATTTCCAGACTATAGAGAGCACCTCAATATAAGCCCCACCGGGCTAAAAGCCGCTGATCTCTACTGAATTGAAAACGTAGTTTAACTGAACGTAACTGAACCGATCAATATGAAACAAAACAGAAAAGTTATCGATTAGTTTATTCATCTTCCTCTTGTGCACTGAAACCATTAAAGTCCTCTTCTTCAGTGTCGGAGTTGAACAGCCTCAGAAGAGCTTCATCACATATTTCTGTGGCGATGTCGGTGTCGCTGTCCGTGTTGCTGTCATCATCCCCGGGTAAAGATGGCTTGAATGAGTTCTTCCTGCTGCCGTCTCCAGCACCGAACCATGGATTCATTCATGCCAAGCTTACGTGCGGCAGCACTGTTTCCCTCCTTTACTGCCAGATCGATGGCCTTCAACTTAAATGCGGCATCATATGAACTCATACGTGTAGTTACCATGATGAGGGGGTATGGATTTTTAAAAGATTCTTCGTCGTGCCGGCTGCTTGAATGTGCTAAATTAAAATGAGCGCTTTCTTCGATTTCCACTTTTGACTTCCACCTGTTTCACTTCCTGCTAAAGCGCCCCCTGTTGGCAGGTGAAGGAAAACCTTCAGTAAAGCCACACCTCATTATAACCCACGTGGTTCAAAGCGTGGGGAAAAAAAGTAGCGGCTTGTAGTCCAGAAAATACGGTAAACTTTTTCTCCCGTCATCAGGTCACCCTAAAACTAGAGCTTTTATCACTCATGGAGGTGCAAACGGGGTTTATGAGACCATCTATCACGGCGTTCCCATGGTGGGAATTCCAGTTTTTGCTGACCAGCCAGACAACATGCTGCACATGAAAGCCAAAGGAGATGCAATTGTTGTGGAATTAAACTCACTGACATCTGAAGACCTCAGAGATGCGCCGTCATCGATGACACAACGTCAGATTTTTTAAATTCCTGCACCAAGTCTGTTTTAAAGATTTAAAAAAAAATTGTTTCGTTTTTGGTGATGAGTCAGCATTAACTTTATTACCAGAATAAATATTTCCCTTCAATTTCCTGTTTTCGTGGTAAATTTTTACTGTATGGCCCGAAAGAGTAACCTAGCTTAAATGTACAAAACTACAAATGTGCCTTTCATTATTCCCAGTTTGTGAGATAAAAGTTAATCTCTGACAATACATTATGAATAACTCTTTATGTTAACTTGTTTATCCACAGCTACAAAGAAAGTGCCATGAGACTGTCCAGAATCCACCACGACAGACCCATGAGTCCTCTGGACGAGGCGGTTTTCTGGATCGAGTTCACCATGAGGCACAAAGGAGCAAAGCACCTGAGGGTCCAGGCCCACGAGCTCACCTGGTAGCAGTATCACAGCCTGCATGTCCTGAGCTTCCTGCTCTCTGTGGTTCTGCTGCTCCTGTTCCTCCTCGACAAGACCTGCAGGTTCTGTTTCCGGAGGTGCTGCTGCAGAAGGAAGACCAAGAGGAAGGCTGAATAACAAACTCAGCTCAGGTTTATTCAAGTTAAATATTGAATAGAAAGGCTGATTTAATATAGATTTTAATCGGTCTTTTGACCACTGACCTCTTGTGTAAAAATAGGGAAGTAAGAAACTGTTTAAAAAAAGGCAAAAACAAAAGTGTTTTGATGTATTTTTTATCTTCTGTGTGATCAAATAGGGTTTTGGGTTTTTATTATTACAAAAAAGGAAAAGGAAAAACATCAGTGTCCAATGTTTTCACTTCTGAATAAATGGTTTGTACTTCACAATTTTTTGTTAAATTCTGACCATTTAGTTTTTGCTCAAGTTTGTGTAACTTCTGTCAAAATGTTTAGAAAAAATATCAAACAGCCGGGATTAAACCCGCAACCTTCTGATTACTGAACGACCCGCTCTCCCTCGGGAGCGACTGCTGTCCAAATGACTAGTTATAAATGACCTGCACTTGTGAAGGGTTTTCAGGTCGGTGTGTGGAGGGAATTTGGGGTCAAATGTCATGCTGCACCTGAGAAGTGATATTAGTGGATTTATTTATGGTTTTATTAGTAATGTTCATGACTGCGGCTACAGCAGGACAATGTTTCATTTAAATGTTGTTCGGAGGGACCGGCGTCGCCTGCGTATGGCAGACTCGCCTCTGTCAGGACGCCCCAGGGCAGCTGTGGCTACAGTGTAGCTCATCACCACCGGGGTTGTGAATGGGTGAATGTGTTGTAAAGCGCCTTGGGGGGTTCCAGGACTCTAGAAGGCGCTATACCAAATACAGACTATTTACCATAAATGAACAATAAAGTTTTATCTCAGCTTGTTGATTATTGTGTAACAGAGATCTCACAACCACAAATTACTGTTTCACCAAAATAAATACCAACAAATCTAATATTTTATTTTTATATTAAAAAAAAAAAAGAAAACTGCAGAAAGTCCTAAAAAGAGAGTTAAAGTTAAACGTGACGTTTGGGAATCATTCCAGAATTCAAACAGTACAGAGTATGAAACACTGCTATCCAGAAATAAGCCTGAACAAGTACAACACATTTAGTTCTAGGTTTTATTTCCCATAAACCTGCAGGGATAGAAACACAAATAAGTGAAAGAAAATCAAAAGGATATGCACTCTGAGTTCAAACATTAATGTTTTGTACTTTAGTACTGAAACGAGTCAGAGTTCACAGTTAATAAGTATCCGTACGGCACATCCAGTATAAAGTTCACAGCTGGATTTCCCACAGACAGACAGACGTCCACCATGGAGCTGCGCGTGCGTCTCTGCCTGCATCCTGCTGCTACTTCCTGTAACATCTGGAGTAGATGGAGGGAAGATTTTGGTTTGGTACACCGAGGCCAGCCACTGGATTAACAGGAAGCTGCTGCTGGAGACGCTGGTGGACAGAGGACACCAGGTGACCGTCACATCCATGTTCATCAACAGCAGTGAACCCTCCCGCTTTAATTACCAGCCTTTTGATGTCTCCGTCTCTAAAGAAGATTTTGAGAATTTATTGGCTGAATTCATTCAATTCAACATGTATGACATGGACCACATGAACTACTTTCAGCTTTACATCAAATACATGGAATTGTTCAAGATCAACACTGAGATTTCCCTCCAGTTTTTGGACGGTGGTGAAATCAGAGCCCATCGTGAAGAAGCTGAGGAAGGGAAACTATGACGTTCTCCTGGCTGATCCCATCTATTCTGGAAGCAATTTAACTGCTGAGATCTTGGGCATCCCTCTAGTCTTTTCTTTGAGATTTTCGATAGCAAACAACTGGGAGAGACTGTGTGCTCAGCTACCTGCTCCACCTTCCTACGTTCCAGGTGCGGTCAGCAGACTGACAGACAAGATGAACTTCTCAGAGAGAACGTGGAACTTCCTCTTCTACGTCCTGCAGGACTTAGTTCTGGATCAGTGTGTGTGGAAGAAGGTGAGTATTGCTGACTAGAAAATTACGTAATGGATTTCATCCAGTCATCACGAACATGTTTGTTTTCTCAGGAACACCCACCAGTGCCTGTAAGATGGTGGGTAATGCTGACATCTGGTTGTTGAGAACCTGCTGGGATTTTGACTTTCCCCGTCCATTACTTCCCAACTTCAAATTTGTTGGAGGGATTCACTGCAAACCTGCTAAACCATTACCAAAGGTGCTCTTTCCATAACTGTACACCAAAAAAATCATAGTTAACCCTCTCAGGCTCAAAACAAGTTTTGATAAAAGGGCAAACAACTAAATCCTTCTTCTGAGTGTAAAAATGCTCATGAAATACGTACGTGGAGTATCCAGGTAGGTAGGTTTTAACGTTGCACATCAGCAACGCCTACTTCCAGAGGGTTAAATCCTAATGTAAAGAATAAGATCTGAAAAAAAAAAAGATCTACAAAACAGACATCTTATTAGCTGTTTTATTATGGGATTAGATTTGTGCCAATAGGATCAAGAAAAACACTTTGGAGAGCAAACAAATTTTAAGACACTGAGAGAAAAAACCTTGGTTTCAAAAGAAAAACTTACGATCTGAATCAGATTCTTAAAATGATCAAGAAAATCACTGTGACGGTCAAACAAAAATTAAGAAATTGACAGAACAAAAATATTGACTAAAGTAAAAAAACATGTTTCAAAAGTAAAACTTACTATCTGAATAAACTTCTTAAAATGAGTAACAAAGTATGTTTCCTTTTTCTGTTTGCCTCTATGTGTTTTTGTTATCAATTTCCTTAGTTTTGTTCTCTCTGCTCAGAGCTTTGCTCTCACTTCCAGATTTGCACTTACACTGTCTGGCTTTCTCCTGTGCAATCCCTGAGTTTTTGGTTGCAATTCTGACACAACCCTTTCGGGTGGGCGGGACTTCTGAGAAGTCCTCTCCCATAGGACAGTGGTTTCTCTTGAGTGATAGTTCAGTGACCTGGAAGTGATGTAGCCTCCAAGACATTTTTTTTCCCCCACCTGGTCAACACCATGAATTTTGAGCCCCAAACAGGTTATTTCTGCTGTCTGTGGTGTCTACTGAGGATCTAAAGTGAGTATTGATAATATATTTTATCTTTTCTTAGTTCATCTGTAAGTTAAGCCACTTTTTAAGTTGGTTTTAACCAGATGCTAGCTCACTAGCTAGCTGCTAAGCAAGCCATTGTGCTAGCCTCAGGACAATGGACTATTGTTCCAGAGAGACGTATTAAAAACTCATCTTAACATATTCATTACTGGTTTCATGGAATTAATTATTGCAGTTTATGTTAATAAGTTTGCTAATTTTTCAGGAACCTGTGGAACATCAGAGACTTTGCAGCTACTGGAGCTAACCTTTGTACTGCTATTGCTACAGAGGAAGCAGCAGAAAGCTGAGCTAACAGGCTGTTTTGCAGGTAAATACTCTTTTAGTGGAACTGCAGGATTTTTATGGTATAACTCAGACAGAATCTACATGAGCTATTGTGGGAAGACATTTAAACTACATTTACATACAGATACATGTATTTTTTTATTCCATGTTACTTGGACGGGCTAAACAAGTTCATAGTTCTGCCTGCTCCTTTTTCAGTGAAACGAATGGATTTTATGATGTAACTCTGACTGAATAATTATCTAAGTGAGTATGTTTGATAATACATTTCTTTCCAGTATACAGATCTGACATTTGTTTGTCAGAACAGGACAAATCAGATTCAATGTGCTTTCTGTCACGTGCTCTGTATTCTCCATGAAAAGAATGTTATCCAGGACAGATAATCAATAATGAGTTAAATACATGCTTTTAATAAATTTTTACATAAAATCTATATTTTTGTCTAAAAGCTATTTTTTATTTATTTATTCTTTCTTTTCAGATTGAAAACTGCTGCATTGCATTACAATGGAAGTGCTACACAGCCACATGCATCAACTGCAGCTGGTGAGCTAAGACACACCATAGTGTACACAAAGTACACTGCAGACAAGGGATGTAAGAAAATATCAATATGACAATATATCGCGATGTATTTTCCCAGTAATATTGTATCGATATTCTCGAACTCTGTCTCTAAAATATCGATATGGCAATATATCGTGATATTTTTTCCTGAGATATTACATCCATTTTCAAAAGCAGTGTATCTAATTTTTGGAAGAATTTACATGCAAACATTTGTGTATTTTCTTTGTTTTTGGTGCATTTTAAATGTGGCCCGCTAGTTGGCAGCAGTGTGCATTGGGTTTTGTTTCCACCATTGAAATTTAAATCTCGCTATTATGGTTCAGAAACTCATGTTATATATGTTAAGTATCAGTTTGGACTGTTTATTGAATATTCCAACAATAAATTCTGTCAAAAATACACATCCCTACTGCAGACCAATCCCACCTCATGTAGTTCATATGCTGTATAATAAACCCACAGTGATGGTTATGGATAAATATCTGTACTAATGGTAATCTTTTTCCATTGTTTCCAGTTGACAAGCATATGGACCTATTGTTCGAGTCCGTGGTGGTGGATGCTCTATCATATCAGGAGTCGGTGGTGGTGGATGCTCTACCATATCAGGAGTCTGACTAAGTACCTGTGCCTGAACCTCTCTGTGTCTAGTTCAAAAGACCTGAAAGACCTGCTGTAAGCAGGCACAGGATAATATTTTAAAAGAACCTGTAAGGTGAGCAACACAACACAATATAAATCTTTATTATTATTGTACGCTGTACAGTTAGAATAAACTTGCATGCTCAGAAGCCACGTATGATTACATCGCCTACAGGTTGCCTGATGCTGAACTTCGGGCAGCTGCGTGCTCCGTGGAACAACCGCCTGTGGGAGGAGTCGTTGTGTTGCTGTTAGGAGTTTGGGTCGGAGTCCTGGGTTTGTGTTCCCTTTAATCTCTTCATTAGCCTTGCTAGTCACCATTGCAGAGCACCATGGAGAGGCTTACCTGAAAACTCTTCTCATGGGGCAGGCACATCCTCACACACCTGTAACCCCATCCTTGAATAAAAGCTGGTAGCTGGTCACTCATCAGAGTGTTTTAACCCATATCTAGCCCATGACTCTGCCGTTTTTCAAACTTACGTTCTCATGTTCTATGCAGATCTATGGGAATTCTTTCCTTGAAGCTCCTGATCACACAACCATACTGGCAGTCGGCTTACCCACTACCTTCTGCTCACCCGCTTGCTACTCATGCTGTCATTCTCCCAGACTTCTGGTTGTTTCGCCACCATTCTGCTGTCTCCCGTCTGCGCTACAATTTTAGACCGTAAGTACCTAAACTTTTCCTTTTGTAAGTCATTCTTTAGTCATTACTAACACTCAATTTTACCTCAGGGCCTTCTGATCTTTAAACACTAAAACCTGTGGCTCCATCTCTGTGGTGTTTCTCAGACTCTGTAAGCTACCTGCACAGTCTAAGAAAACCCTGACCTGTTGCCTCTTACTAACCTCTGCTCTTCCTCGCAGAAGCTTCTGGTTCCTGATCTCCAGCTGTTACCTCTTCAGTCATCCGTCAAACATTTTAATAAACTGTTTTTAGCTCATTTGTCTCCTGAGTTTCTCTGCATGAAGGTCAGGTTGTTGCAAAAATCATGACATCAGCAATTACTTTGCACCACTCTGTTAAACAGCTGATATTAATTTCAAGTGTATCTTTAAAAATACATTGAATGTCAAAGTGAATGAAAGGCATCCATTCAGCTTTCGGTGTCTAATGCAGGATTTTATGGACAGGCACCAAAACAGGAAATTTATAAATTGAGATTTATTTACTAAATCAGGTAAACCATAATAAAATACTAATGTTTAAAGTCCGGAGGAGGGAGGAAGGCTTTATAGCAGGGGTATTCAATTCTAGTCCTGGATGGCTGGTATCCAGCACGTTTTAGTTGTTTCCCTGCTCCAACACACTTGAATCAGTGGTTGAATTACCTGTGCAGCAGCTCTGCAGAAGCCTGTTAATTATCTGCTGACTGAAATCAGGTGTATTGAAACAGAGTTAAAACTAAAACGTGCTGGATACCGGCCCTCCAGGCCCAGAAGTAAATACTCCTGCTTTATAGGCACAGAGAACTCCCATCAGGATCCTGGAGACGGCACAAAGAGATGACGACATGAGTGTGCCCTCCCAGATCACACCAACACCACCTGACCACATGGAGAAATGTGTCTGTAAGAAAGAAAAACTGGTGATGTAAGAGATTAAACAAAAACTACGAACAAAATCAATTTTACAGTTGTTTAACCTGCTGAGCATCGTCTCCCCAAAGAGCTGCACAAAGGTGCAACTGGCTCAGAACCAGGGTGCTCCGTTATGCAGGTGGTCACCTCCTCCTGCTGACACCCGAGGATTACCTACAACAAAGGGAAAACTGATATCAATAAGGAAATAATTAAATCAGAGCTAAAAGTTTAATTTTAGTGTGACGTTTGAGATTGTGGGAAATAAATGTGGACATTATGATTTTCTATTGTGGGATCAGTACCTTGGGCGTTTCTCTGTAGCAACATTTTGTCTGGCTGACAATGAAGTAAAAAAGTCACCAGTTGAGGCAGAGTTAGACTACATTACTCCAGCTAAGCTAAATGTAGCTAAAATAGACACTAGTCACCAGACTATGGTTACTATAGATTTACTAGAGAGTTACATCATATAATCCATTCGTTTCACTGAAAAAGGAGCAGGCAGAACTATGAACTTGTTTAGCCCGTCCAAGTAACATGGAATAAAAAATACATGTATCTGTATGTAAATGTAGTTTAAAAGTCTTCCCACAATAGCTCATGTAAATTCTGAGTTATACCATAAAAGTCCTGCAGTTCCACTAAAAGAGTATTTACCTGCAAAACAGCCTGTTAGCTCAGCTTTCTGCTGCTTCCTCTGTAGCAAGTTAGCAGTACACAGGTTAGCTCTAATAGCTGCAAAGTCTCTGATGTTCCACAGGTTCCTGAAAAATTTGCAAACTTATTAACATAAACCGCAATAATTTATTCCATGAAACCAGTAATGAATATGTTAAGATGAGTTTTTAATACGTCTCTCTGGAACAATAGTCCATTGTCCTGAGGCTAGCACAATGGCTTGCTTAGCAGCTAGCTAGTGAGCTAGCGTCTGGTTAAAACCAACTTAAAAAGTGGCTTAACTTACAGATGAACTAAGAAAAGATAAAATATATTATCAATACTCACTTTAGATCCTCAGTAGACACCACAGACAGCAGAAATAACCTGCTTGGGGCTCAAAATTCATGTTGTTGACCAGGTGGAAAAAAATGTCTTGGAGGCTACATCACTTCCAGGTCACTGAACTGTCACTCAAGAGAAACCACTGTCCTATGGGAGAGGACTTCTCAGAAGTCCCGCCCACCCGAAAGGGTTGTGTCAGAATTGCAACCAAAAACTCAGGGATTGCAAAGGAGAAAGCCAGACAGTGTAAGTGCAAATCTGGAAGTGAGAGCAAAGCTCTGAGCAGAGAGAACAAAACTAAGGAAATTGATAACAAAAACACATAGAGGCAAACAGAAAAAGGAAACATACTTTGTTACTCATTTTAAGAAGTTGATTCAGATAGTAAGTTTTACTTTTGAAACATGTTTTTTTCCTTTAGTCAATATTTTTGTTCTGTCAATTTCTTAATTTTTGTTTGACCGTCAAAGTGTTTTTCTTGATCATTTTAAGAATCTGATTCAGATCGTAAGTTTTTCTTTTGAAACCAAGGTTTTTTCTCTCAATGTCTTAAAATTTGTTTGCTCTCCAAAGTGTTTTTCTTGATCCTATTGGCACAAATCTAATCCCATATTTTATTGAATAAAAAAGCAGATTTTGATTTAAAAAAATACAATTTTCTGCTTTAAAGAATTATAAATCTCTGTTCCTGCAGTATTTCGAAAAGTTTGTCCAAAGCTCTGGAGATGATGGCATCGTGGTCTTTTCTTTGGGATATTCTCAAGAATCTGACCATACAAGGCAAACATGATCGCCTCTGCTCTCGCTCAAGTCCCACAAAAGGTCAGAAACGGGGGAATCTACAGGGGGGCTCTGCTGTAGAGCCTTGCCCCCGTGGGTTAATTAGATTTTTTGGGTTGCGCCACTTTGACAATGTGCCGTGCGCAGGACGCAGTTGCCTGGAGCGCATCAAAGATCAGCGCTGTTCCTCCTCTCTGCTCAAGAATGCCCCAAGAGTTCAAACAGATACACAGCCCTGGGCGTGGACGTTGAGGGCTTCGTAATTCTAGCTCTGCTCGACATTTTCTTCAACGTGACACAGCCCCCCCCCCCCCCCCCCCCCCCCCCCCGTTTCTCATTTACGTTGTTTTTGACAAAAACAGCTCTGCTGCTCCAAAATGATGCATTTTAAACATTGGTGTTGTGTTATTGTAATACGTTATAATTGAGATGAATAATAAAATATGACAAAAAATTCAAAATGTGGGACAAAAGGACTTATAAGCCAACATTTAGAGAAAAAGAGACATTTTTCACATTTTCTGAAAGAAATACGTTGGTTCAGGTTAAAGTTCATTTTTATTACATATAAAGTTAAAGAAAGGGGCGTTCAGGTGCTGCTGTTGATGTTAACACTGGAGCGTCGATGGTCCAGACTGAGATAAATGCGTTAAAGTTAGGCTCCGCCCATTTGGGTTACTATGACCACCAGTGCCTACTACTGCTCCTTCTTTCACCCCACCCACGTGATCCTTTGAAGTGACGTCATAAAGGCTCAGAGTCCTATTATCTAGCATCAGCCGGCTCCCACTTCATTAGCAGCCGACTGCTGGTGTGCGACACATCGACTCTCTGAGACAATCGTCTTTTACAACCTCAAACCTTTTTTCTGAGTTTGATAAAAGACCAAGAGCCTCTAGAATCATGTCTATTCTACATTTTTCATCTGAGGAGCTTCAGCAGGAATTATCTGGGTGTAAACACCCCAAAATTTATTTTTCCCATATGGCGCTCTTGGAGAAAGTCCAGTCTCAGCTTTTAATCACGGAGAAATGGTTAAGTGATGAAAAGCAGCAAACGTTACAAGCAGAGACTGAATTGGAAAAATACAACGACATAATTACCGTCCTGGAACAAGAACTGGACGTTTATCAAGACAACGCAGAGACCTGCAAGGTCACCCTGCAGGCTTTAGAGACCAAACTGAAGAAGAAAGCAACTGTGTGTGAAAATCTGCAAAATCTTTTAAAGCAGGAATCCCAGCTGAGACGTAGATTTGAACAGGGGAAGATAAACGACCAGATTAGGAACGAAGTTGATCAGAAACTAAGAGAAGAAATTAGTGAACTGAAAGAGCGTCTGGATTACTACCAGCTTAACGCTGAGACCTGCAAAACTACAATTCAGGCTGTGAAAATTAAGTTGGAGGAAAAACTAAATGTTTCTGAAAGTTTGCAAAACCAGTTAGGACTGGAGTCAGAGCTGAGACTGCAGCTGGAAGAGGAGAAACAGAATAAAGACTCGCTCACCGAGGCTTTACATGAACAAATCAGAGATTTAGAGATTATAAACGGTGTTCTGGTAGACGAGATGAAAAGTATCTTCTCTGAGACGAACGAGGCAGAGGAGACGCTTTCTGAGGAGGACGGAGAAAAGGCTTCTCTCTGTGGGGAATGT